GTCGATGAGAAAGCCTCGAACAGTACCCAAACACAACGATCCAACCAGCGCAACTGCTCAACAACAAACATACCAAGAGTCACATGTCGGGGTTCGTGTTGAGTCCTTTATTAAGTGAGTGGGGCCAAAAAAAAAAGCACCCCTAAGCTGGCTCCATAGAATAGCACCCAACTCCATGGAACTGCACCCAACTCCATGGAACTGCACCCAACTCCATGGAACTGCACCCAAGTCCATGGAACTCCTGGTCTCCCTCCGAACTTTCGGACTGAACATCCGCTTCCTTCGCTGTTCTTCGCCTTTTCTCCCCACCTGCACTCCTCAGTCTCGATGTGCACTCTCCACGGGCTGCCCACCGATTGATCAATGGTCTCCAAGTCCCCCAGGGGCGGCAGCACCAGTTGCAGGCCCGTCTCTCCGGTACTGAGCGAAGCAGCCCAAAAGACTAACTCCGAAAGCCTTCGTTGCGAAAGACATAGGGCTGAAGACCAAAAAGGACAGACCAAACAACAGGTGTGTTGGTCGCTGGTGGCGCAGGGATGGCGCGCAGGGACGGCACCTGACGGCGTCATCCAAAAATAAGAAAAGGTTTCTGCAAACTCAACTTCCAACATCAAATTGCAAAGCGTTCTGCGCCCAACTGCTGGAATCAAACAATTGTAAATTGAAATGGTATAAACAACGTAACCCCCCCCCCGAACTCCATGTTTGACACACCCAAACTTGGCCCCAACAAAGCTCCCTGTGTTTTTCTGCCGCGCTGCCACGGGTTGGGCAGCGAGACGTTAGCGGAGCGGAAGTCCAAGTGCAGCGTCTGGCACCTGCGCACGAGAGGCTCCAGGCTCCAAGACGGGGTCAGTTGGGTCGCGTGCATCACAGTCCCTGGCCATCCCACATAACCCACATAGTGGCCGGGCTGGGAGGGTTGTGGTAAGATCGCGAGTTGGATCATGAAAGGGCGTCAATTTGGTACCATCCATCATTATCCCCAAACACTGCATGGGACTGCCATATATGCCCTATATCAGTTGGGGTGGTTTCGGGGGGTGAATGTCAGCATTATGGCAGTCCCATGGAGTGTCTGAGATCCTACATTGGTTGTAGACTCTGGGGGCTGTTGCCTCTATCAATCAACCAAGCAGTAAGTCAAGGCCTGTCGTTCGAGTTCCTCGCTGCGTTCACGACCACCTCTGTCCCACCGAGTCGAGACTCGGGGTGGGAAGATCTGGACTTGGTGCCGGTACCCGGCTCTGACTGCCAAGAGAGGTTATAGTGACCTTATAGGACCCTACAGGGGTACCTATAGGATAGTCTATAGGTTCTTCAACCTCTGTTGGTGGTTATAGACTCTGGTTACGACAGATCGAAGCAGCCAGTGAAGCACCCCTCCAAATGTCTGGGCTCGGGCTTAGGGGGGGAACTCCTGCTTCCATGGTCATATTGGATCGAATAAGAAACCCGAATCCGAAGACATAACACCAATGATCTTCAGTACTGCTACAGTAGTGGCTCCCTATACCCAAACGCCCCATCGCTGCACCTGAATCTTTGGTTCGTGATGCCAAATCCTTTGGAGACATCTCATCGGCCACTCGTCGAAGCAGGCTTTGAACATAATATAGCACAAACGCAACCCTGGACGAGGGAGTCGGACCCGAATCCTTGGGTCAGGGGTCCCACCGGAAGTAGGACTGTCTTCAAGGAGCGTCTGGGTCCAGATCGTAAATGCTCGATCGGACTGGAGATCGATCGCCGCCATTGGAACCACTCAAATGGATCGATAGGTGGGGTTTCAGTTGGTGAGAAATGGCACTGGCACCCGAACATGTATATTGAAATATTGGCAGTCCACTGTAAATAGTTCTGTCAGTCCCATAATTATAGATAGATCTAGAGTGTTTGGGATTTCTACCATCTAACTCACCTTTGGGACCGTAACGCTGACCAACACTTCCAGCCTGACTCCAGCTTCTTGTACTTTGGACAAAGTCCGACTGAATTGTCGGTAGAGGTTCTCCTTGGCTGTTGTGCGAGCTACGACTTGGCAAGACTCCCTCCAAATACGTAGATGATTAGATGTGTTTGATTTGTTTTCAGGGTTTAGTTTGGTTCAATCTCCTGCCCTATTTACAGGGATTTCCAGAAAGTCGGACAACACATCAAGGGCCAGCCCCTGTACCACACAGCTGCAAGGCCGCCAAAACTGACTCTCATCCTTAAAGTGTGCCTCCCCACTGATTAAACATATACCAGGGCCCCCTAAGGGGTGTCTAATTATAGCTCCTTAGAGGTTAAGGGGTATCCATTAACCACCCCTTAGGGGGCTCTGGTATATAGAGATTCTAGACCAGGACCCTCCGGTCGGTTCGGCTGTTTGGAGACCTGACCACAGGTGGGGCTTCACCTGGGCACCGGACGAACGGAAACAGGAAGCACCGAACTTGGAGGATGCTGGTATAGACTCTACCAGGACCCTCTAAGGGGTGCCCAATGGAAGCCTATAGGTAGTGTGGGGTAGTCCATTGGACACCCCTTAGAGGGTCCTGGTAGACATCTCTAGACGCTGACGAAAATGAGAAGCTTTCTGTTGGACCAATTCCAAGAACATGGTCCACCTTGTGTCCGCCGAGCGCCCGTTTGTCCTGGGAGTCTGAGTCTGCTTTCACAGGGGTGAATTTAGTCCGGACGGCCCAGGATGAAAGTCCCAAACCAGTGGATTGAGAGTAGATGGTGCAGGCATAGATGGCCAATAAACAAAACACTGGAAAATCACACACCCGCATAGCGTCCCGCTCTCTAAATCTACGGACATCTTGGCGGTAGTGCCATCTACTCTGAAACCACTGCAAACTGAACATCATGGCTGGGGTTGATGGATGCTGCTAAGAACCTGTAAATCCAAGCCACTGACCTGCTTCTTGCTGCATGACTCCCCCCAAATCCCTTGGGTCTTTTCTTTCATTTCTCAAGGCGGTCCACGCCCCCAAAATACAAAAAACCTCAGCTGCGAAGTCGATTCATCCCAAGTGTCTCCAAAGAAATCTTCCGAATACCAGCCATCCACGCTGAGTTCCGGCACCGCCGGCGCGAACGGAACAAGTCCGTCCAGGGGAGCTAAGCGCAGGCGAGTGGTGCTCACCAGGCACAGCCACTTGCCCATCGACAGGAGCCCTACCCATGCGCACGACCAGATGCGAGACTTGAAGTGTAGGGCCTGGTTAGGGGGGGGCCCTGGCTCATTGACTTCTCTATGTTCCGAACGGGTCAAACTGGGAGGTCTCTATTTTCCGAACTGGGAGCTACAGAACCACATGTGTCCAGTGTGGGCCTCCCTGTACGAAAGAGACACCAAAATTTGCGGGTGTCCAGTGGGATGCGGACATTGAAAAAGACGTGCTCGAGATCTGACCTCCTCACTTTCCCTGGAAAATAGTGGTTCACCTAACTGTCCAACTGTTCTTGTTTCAGGTTCTCCACGTACTTCTTGGGGATCGAAACAGGTCGAAACCATGCGAAACCATGCTCAATGCTCTTCGCTGGTTCGCTGGTTCGCTGGGAGGGTTCTCCAAGGAGTGACAAAACCATGAAAAAACCGAGCATTTGGGTGTATCTGGTAGTATCTCTGGTGTATCTGGTAGTACCGAGCATTTGGGTGTATCTGGAGTGTAGGGTTCTCTGGTAGTGGAATTTGGGTGTATCTCACTACCAGATACAGTGGATGATGATGGTTCGGTTGCAGGCCTTGGCCTTTCAAATAATGAAAAATAGCGCTGCTCTGGTTTACTGGGTTACACCCGAGCATGGAATGATGGATGTGGTGCTCGGCTTGGGGCTTGGTTTTGGATGGGACCAGGTTGGTGTTCAACGTTTTGCGGCCAGGTCAGGGGTGAGCGATCTCGTTGCTCCAGATCCATGCTGCACATGCCATGTTTTTCCTCACTAGGTGATGGGCCAAAGAAGGCCACGCCAGCTGCGGAGCGGCGGAGAGCCAATCTATGGTCACTTCATGTCACTTCATCTTTGTGGCGGCTCCTGTCTAAAGCAAAGGGATCTTCACCTACCATGGTTTAGACATGATTGGTCTATTTCACCACTTTGATGGTGCTGGACCGCTGGAGGTCTAGTTTTGCGCCACCCTTCCGGTTTGTAGATGCTTCGAGGAAAGGACCTGTCGACGTGTTGTGATGGTATCGTGAAACCATGAGGATCCACGGGATGTCCTGACACGTATAGTAGACAACTGATCTGGCACGATCTTGTAATTCTTACCATTTTAACTACTAGAACGCATACAAATAATCCTGTATGAGTTATTGTCTCGCAAGCACCTTATGTCACAAAATGTTTGAATCCCGAACCCGCAACATGCAAGATTTAAGCCTCAACCTCTTAACCTTATTGCATCCGAAGCTTGAAATCCCCAAAGGCTCCCTGCATGCACATTCCCATGGGACAAAGACAAGCACCCAACATCAGGGGCCCCACAAACCACAAACAACAAAAGTGCTGATGGCCCCACCATGTTGCATGAATATCTGGGTGATGTGGCATAACTTGTACACATCCACCGAATCCGCCATGTTCTTGACATCCACCATTATCTGGGCAATCTCTGTGCTGTCAACATCATTGTGTAGGGTGCCTAGTCCGAACAACCTTCACCTGCTGTGAGGAGCTGCAATTTTTGGATTTGCTGCCCGCCTGCCCAACATGAACTCAAGTTCATCTCACCTCAAGATCCACCTTCCTAGTTGAATGATCTTATCATATATCTCAACAAGATCTCCAACTTTCCCGCCCCAAACGATCACCCACATCTCAGGCAACAAACAGAGAGAGAGAGAGAGAGAGCCAAAGTGCGAAGAAACATACACGAAAACACACGCAAAAGTGTAGAACCTTGACTAAACCACCCCATTTGAAATCGTATGAAGAGGTTTTACAGTCCAAATGGAGCGGCTTGATTCATCCAGCTTCTACATGTCATCTGAGAGCGGCACGGTGAGAGCACCAATGGTGTCATAGAGCAACAAGAAGCTGCTGACCAGGCCCCAGAGGCATACCATGGTGATATCCAGACCTGCACGGTTATATGACGTGGCTCAGAAGCGCGTGCACTAATTTTTTTTTGCGCAAGTTCGTTCGACAGCGCGTGGATCCCCGGTGCACCTCGGTGGTTCCAGGGGGGGTGATGAGGATGGGTCTGATCGTCTGGAGAACTGGTAGGGTCCGCGTCAGTCCGCGTCAGTCTGCTTTGGCACAGCTATACCTTCGGAGCAAGTAGGTGGACGTATAGATATGCCTGTCCCATTCATGGAGGCGGCAGTGCTCAGTGTCTGATCAAGTTTATCTTACGTCCGAATGTCAGTGGCCCGACTTCATCCTGGATTTAAAGAGTGCTGCAAAAAACACGTCCTGGGGACCTTCCTTTGGCGCAGGTGAAGGGATTCATACCAGGACCCACGATCAGTGCAGTATTTCATAAACACCCCTGAGGTGGAGGTTTTCAGAATTCAATCCATGCCAGGGCCCCCTGTTTGGGGTGTCGAATTATAGCACCTTAGAGGTGATTCGGGGTATCCATTAACCATCATTAACCACCCCAAACAGGGGGCCCTGGTGTAGAACCCAGCTTCTATCACCTTCTTTAAGCATGCATCCGCATGGCGCTGACCCTCTCCCTCCGATCTGTGGCGGGGTGTCTGTCCGAGCAGTCCCAGATTTCTGCATGGGCCAACAAAGGCATCGTGCTTCTCTCCTCCTCGTAAGCGAAAACGAAGCGACACCTCGCTTCGAGCTGGCTCCTGTCGGACGCCGTCGCTCCTCGGCCATGATCTTCATGATTCTTCCCACACAGTTTGTTGCACCAGGATCATTCAAGAAAGAATAGTTCTGCTGTTGCCCGTCTGTAGCACCAGCATGCCATCAGCGACAAAGGCCTGGGACTGATGATGGCTTTATAGTCTTCTTCTTGTTAGATGGTGCCGGGGTCACGCTATCCAGCCTGATGGCCAGGAAACTTCCGTCGATCAAAGTCAGCTCCAAGATCAGGCGCCTGACAAGCCAACAAGGCCTGCCAGCACAGCCTCATGCGCATGCGGCGTTGCTGCTTCCATGGAGTTGGCACCTTTCTTCGCCTTTGACGGTGAACAACTTGGCACCTCCCTGGGGTGGCCAGCAAATGGGTGCCTTTCCTCCGCTTGGCCACTCTGCCAGCTATGAAGAACCCCGAAGCAACGAAATCAAGAGCGATGGACGAAGGATGAAGGAGGATGCATTCTCAAGAGGCTTGGTTGGATGGTGCAGTGAAAGTGGAGATTTAACAATCCCCTCTCCCGGCCTCTCCCCTCTCCATGTCACTACACCAAACAATGGACGAAACAAGCACTGTTCTATATTTTTGGGAGGATGAAACTATGATGGAAACCAACGCCAGCTCCTCAAAAGCATCCAAATCCAACACTATATATTAGCAACATGTTTGCATCACTCACTTCATTGAAATTACAGGTACGCCGGATTGAGCGTGTGGAACCTTGACAAGGCAACAATTAATTACATAGATCAAAACAGAACAAACATGAAGAACACAAACCTTGCTGACTCATCGTGACTTGATGAAACAATTGTGCTTCTTATGTTGAAACATTGGTTAATCAAGGTGGTCCATAAGGTCCATACACACAAGCAATCATGAAACAACATGAGCCTGCCAGAGGCGATAAACGTGTTTGACCCCGAATCGATTGGAGGGGCTTCTCATCCCCTGGTCCAATGACCCTGCCGAACTTCGATCGTGCCTTTCTTCAAGGAGTGCCAACCTAAGATCACCTCGGTGCCGGGCATTTCAGTCCCGAAACTGGACGCATCTTCACATCTTGCTGCTGGAAGATGCATTTTGGATCAAACATCGAACACCCTGAATTGCATGGGTGCTGTGAATCTCACCACCTGACCCCCCTTCGACTGAACGGCCTCAACCCTTTAAAGCTTGTGAAGGGTGGTGGGAGTCTGACAAACATCGAAGAAAAAGAGGATTAGGATGGATTAGGTATCCCATTCCCAGGGCCCAGTTCCCATTCCCACACCTAGTGGATGATGCAGGGCGGCCAGCTACCCGACACAGGGTGGCAAGCTAGCCCAAGCAGGTCCCTGTCTCTGATCGAATCCGTACCTGAATCGACAAGTGATTTGGTTCAGTTGTCTGTGCGATATGTGGTAGGGTCCAAGGGATTGAGTTATGACCTGGCACCACTCCGCATCTCGAAAGACTTCGTGAAGGATCCCAAGACTTCGTGAAGGATGCCAAGACAGAAAGGCGGTTGATGGATGAAGACCCCGGCCGTCCTTTCACGGCTTGGTCTCAGAGAAGGAGGTGTAAACTGCCCACCCCAAAAGAAATGGGCCGCTCCAAGCAACCGAGAACCACCCTCAAAAGTTAAAGGAACATGAGGGACTTTGGCCTACCAGCTCTCTTCCACCGAGCTACAATCAGGCCCAGGAAGAAGCCTGGGCAGATGCTGCGCTGCACTCACAAACATGGAGTCTCAGCAAACTGCTTGGTGGTGTCAACCCTGCAACATCTCAGGTAGAGGTCTAACATCAAGTTGAAATCCAAGCAGTACACCAGTTGAGACATCGCGCACAGCTGAGGTCGAAAATGGAGATATGACGCCTTCAAATCACGATCAAACAAATTACTCCACCACCTACTGTACACCTCCAGCTACTCCGCCACCCTGCCCACGTTCAGTGCCTCCCAAGGCTTGGTACAAGTAGACCACCCGTGCCACCGTGAGGACCGCCCTCAGTGGATCGCGCATCGCGCATCGCGCGGGTGTGCAGGTCGGGACTAGGTGCCCAAAGAGCGGCGTCGATGACTCAGGGAACCCAGAGGACTAGGTGCCCAAATGCTCCATGTATTCTACCAGCACCTTCCTGGAAACTTGGGGTCACCTGGAGCCGCCCCAGTCCCCTACTAGACTGGACCTCCAGCCACCCGGGCACCCTGGCCAATGTTGGATGCTGATTGGTAAACCGGTCCTCAATAATGCTAAATTTTTCCAAAATTATTCTAGACCCCATGTTTGAAAAAGTGGTCCTGAATAATGCTAATTTTTTTGGGGATCCTAATTTGTTTAAATATTGCACACCTAATTAATGAAGGTTTGAATTCCTTCTGAGGCCAATGATTATGATTCATTAGCTGATATAGGTTTCTCTAGGTTTCTTCAAAACTGACAGCTGTCCAAAACCACCAATTCCTAATTAAACCCT